TATGTTGATAGATGATTATCCATAAGTGCTCAAGCCAACCCATGTGAGATTTGAGTGAGAACGAGGCACTAGAGCTAACTCAATCATGTGTGGCAGTCCGGTATGGATACCGGACGTGTTCGGAATGGGGTCAGTCACAACAACTTTTCTGTGCTCTCGAGTTTAGTTCATCAGAAGTTCCGACAAGAGTCGGGAGTTCCGGGAGTCAAAAGTTCTAGCAAGAGTCGGCAGTTTCGACGTCTCGCGCGCGCTTCTAACTTGCTAACTTTGGCGCTATGCTGGTGATACCGGACATGTCCGGTATTCCAACGGCTAGAAAACGGCTAGTTTTTCAAAGGGGCTATAAATACCCCCCAAGCCTCCACCTTTGGAGGTTGTTGATTCTGCTAATTCCCATACACATTTTTGAGCCTTGAGAACACTCTCCAACCCTCTCTTAGCGAGTGTGTCATTCAATTTGCAAAATCCATCTGTGGGTTGAGAGAAATTCAAAATTGAGAGCAAGCCACCCTTGAACACTTGTGCATATTTGTCGATCTCGTGATTTGCATTTGTTACTCTTAGACTCTTCGGTCCTAGACGGCTAGGCGTCACCGGAGAGCACCCAAGAGATTATGGTGTGCCTCGAAAAGTTTGTAACGGTTGATTCCACCGTCGCAAGAGGAAGGGATCAACTAGTGGAAGGAGAAAAAGGAGTTGGAAAACACTTCGACTAGAGTTGACCTTCGTGGGTCCTCTAAAGTTGACCTTTGCTGGGTCACTCGCAGCCCCCTCAATGGAGAGTAGGATTGGATGGAGTCCGAACTTCGGTAAAACAAATACCATGTCTCAATTCATTCTCATTTGGTATTTGTGATCCATTTGCGTTGCTTGAGCTTGTGAGCAGGTTACTAGTAGGTGTCTGCAACTTGGTGTGAAAGGAGAAATCAAAGGCAACAAGTTTGGAGCTCGGTGTGCCGAGGCCATGTATACCGGACACGTCAGGTATTAGACCCCAGCGCTGGTTTTATTCTTTCACTGCACTAACCTTTATGTTGCAGGATTTTAGACTGCAGACTTGTTTAGTATAACTCTTATACTCTGTGGTTAACTCTTGAGGGGTTTGATTCTCTTATTTGGTCGTTTCCGCATTTTAAAGGTGTTATTTTTAGAAACGTCTATTCACCCCCCCTCTAGGCGACATCCTCGGTCCTTTCACATCCCTTCTGCTATTGACTCATTATTAGATTATACATTTATTTGGCAGGAACTAAAGAAAATAGTTTTTTAGGGGGGGGGCAGGGAAGTTTCCTACCTATTTTTTTAATAGATAATAACAAGTCCTGCAAGTGCAGGGGTACAAGGCCTAAGGCCCAAGAACAAAAGGAAAATACATCACTTGTAATTCTCTAACCAAATTCTAAGGGGATCCCTAATAATCTGTTTGGCCTTCATACAAACCAAAGCCAACTCTTCCTTGAAGCTTTACTTCCATCTGTTGACTGAGATAGTGCCATTGTCGAAGATTACTTTGTTTCTGGTGGTCCATATGATCCAACAACCTATTATAAGTATCTCTTTGAAAATTCAGCTTCCAAAGCTGTTTCTGGCTTCTAGGACCGTGTCCAAAGGTTGCAGCTGCAGATTCCAGTCTATGTGCACAGTATCCCAACAAAGTTGGCTGAAGAGGCATTCAAAAAAAGAGGTGCAGGACTGTTTCTTCCACCCCCTGTGCTGCAGAGGACACAAGTATAATCACCCAAGTGCCTGTTTTTCCCTAGTGTTTTGTCTGTCTTCGAGGAGGAGCCAAAATAAGAATCTGTGTTTCCGTAGATTCCCTGACGCTTCGTTTTAGGGCAATTTTGAAACATGGAGGCTCAAAAGCCTAATTGCACCCCAAACTCAACATTTAATGCTCCATAGGCTTTCTTGGGTGTGTCAGCTTTTTGGAATTTGGGATGGAACTAAACAAATGTAGTTCCAGTTGTCACTAGCCTAGGGCCATTTGAAAAGAGGCGACATATCTTGAAACATGTTATAGGCTTTCTTGGGAAGATCCATGAGAAAATTAGTTAATTGTTCAGAGGCTTGAAATGTTCTAAGGAGATTATGGTTCAGAGGCCTAAGGGGATATGGGGAAGCTGAACAAAGTGTTTATTGGCTGCTCCAAGAAGAATGTGAAACTGTAGTTCAGTTTCTTAGCAACAGAGTACAGCTGCGGGTAGAGATTCTTAATTATGTTGGAGCGCCAGAGATCTTTCCGGAACAACACTATATCACCTTTGTTCACTGTACAATGGGCTAAATTGAAGAAGTCAACTCAAATCATAGGGCATGTTTTCAAAATTGTAGTCTAATAATCCGTATTTTTCAAGAGATTTAAAAGATATATTTTATACTTGTTTAACCAAATGTTTTCAATTTTCTACGTATCTATTTTCTCTCACAACAAATCAGCCTTAACAATGTTTCTTCCACAGAAACAGACCTTAATTATGTTGGAGCGCCAGAGATCTTTTTTTCACTATATCACCTTTGTTAACTGGAGAAGGAGCTAAATTGAAGAAGTCAACTGAGAGAATTCCTTATTTGACTTTGACACCGTGATAAATAACCCGTTCCTAGTTTTTTCCCTCAAAAATGTTTTGGTTTGTTATTTGACACCGAGAAGTTCAACTTTTTGATTCCTTTCCTTGACACCGTTCGATTTTTTGGCCATCAAAAACCGTTATTTGACACCGAAGTTCAACTTTCATTCCTTATCGACATGTGAAAAGATCCGTGAACCGTTAACGCCATGTGAAAAGACGATTTGCCTATGGGGCCCCCACCACCTTCTCCTCCTCTCCTCCCCTTCTCCCTCCTGCTGCGCCCTATAAGCGCAAAGACGCCGACCGACCATATGCGCGCGTCGACGGGAGGCGCTTAGTGCCCGTGAAGGCGGCGCGCAAGCAAGCGCATGGGCGTCCGTGTGGTCATTGTCCGGCCGGCGGGCGCCATTGTCGAGTCGACGACGACATCATCGACTTCCACGACCACCACGTCGTCTTGCTCCTCCTCGTTTGCCTCTTTCTCGCCGTTGCTACTCCTTCCGCGACGGACTCGTCGTCGCTCTTCCTTGCCCTCGTCGTCGCACCTCCTCCTCGACGAGACTACGCCATGCCACCCAAGAAGAAGTCCAAGCATGGGAAGCACGCCAAGAAGAAGCGCGCAAAAGCCCAAGCGCTGCGGCGGCAAAGCCAAAGAAGCACACCCCAAGCCGCCCGATTCGCGGCGGCGGTGGCGCGCGCGGCATTGCTCACACCGACGGCGGCCCAAATAGGGAGCGACCGCAACCGCACCCCATTGCGACGTCACGAAGTGTAAGACGCCAAGCGGGGGCCAGGGGCCCGAAAGCGCCAAGACGCAGGTGGCAACTTGTGGGGTCCACAGTAGCGGACGGGGAGGGAGAAAGGGAGGAGAGGAGGGAGAAGGGTGGTGGGGCCCATAGGGGCAAAATCGTCTTTTCACATGGCAGTTAACGGTTCATGGATGGAAAATCTAACGGAGTGTCGTATAAGAAATGAAAGTTGAACTCGGTGTCAAATAGGGAATGAAAATTTTTTGAGGGCATAAAAGGAACGAGTCATTTGTCTTGTGTCAAATAAGGAATTCTCTCAGGGATTTTTGGCATGGGGTGGGATGTTGTTGGCTGTATAGAGTGTGTTCCAAGTCAAAGTCACCCATAGCATGTTTGCATGATTGTTGACCTTGTCTAGGAACTTCAAAAGGAGGGTAGTATTTTCAATATGAAGGTTGATGATTCCCAAACCTCCTTCCTCTGTAGGTCTGCAAGCAGTGTCCCAGACAACAAGGCAACACACAGCTTTGTGGATTTCAGTACCACTCCATAGAGCATGTTTTATGTATCTATTAATCTGGTCTATGACTCTTGGTGGCAGTTTGAGGGTGCACATGTAAAAAGTGGGCATGCCTAAGAAAACCGAGTTTACTAGAACTAATATCCCATGATATGAGGTATTTGCTTACTCCTATCAATCTGTTTTCAATCTTGGATAGGAGGGGAGTGAAGTCTTGAAAGCTTGGATAAAACATTAAAATAGGGATTGTCCACATCGTACCTAGGAGTACATTCCCCCTACAACCAAATTTTGTGAGGATTTTGAAGAGAAAAAAATGAGTGTTTGAGGTGTTCCATATCTAAATTAAAGATACTACAAGAATCGAGTGAAATATTTCTTCCCCCACGCCAAAATTTTAGTTACACCAGTTCTAAATAGCACAAGTATTTCGGTGATTTTCTTTTGCATAATTTTTTTGAGTGCAACATATATATACTTCTTCTTAGTTTAGACACTTTTATTTTATTTTCTATTTTTCAAGTCAATTGTTTTCTTTTTAGAAAAACTACAAAAGCCTAATTTTGTATTTCGGTGTTTTTCTTTTGCATGAAATTTTTCGAGTGCAACATATATATACTTCTTCTAGTTTAGACACTTTTCTTTTATTTTCTACTTTTCAAGTCAAGTCAGTATTTTTTAGAAAAACTACAAAAGCACACAAGCATATATATACAGATTTTGAAAAACAAAATTGCTTAACAATATTCGAAGAAAAACATATATATGTAAAGTTACTCTAGAAACTGGGCGTTTTGTCTTTGTCAAGCAAATGGAAACTACTCTTTTTTGAAAACCTGGTTTGCTCTTAGAGATTACTCCTAAGATGCAGTTTAATAAAATAATAAAAAATTAAAATAAATATCACGCCTGGTGGGACTCGAACCCACAATCGTCTGATTAGAAGTCAGACGCCTTATCCATTAGGCCACAGGCGCCGATTTTTTTTGTTTTCGATTTAAAAGTTACATAGATAAGTATGTAATTGACAGTTCCCATATACATACGCGCACAAGATCTCTCCACCTCTGCCATAACCGTAAGCGAGCGGTCGCTTCCCCCATCCAGCCCCGCACCGCCGCACGACGTCGCCGGAACCGGAGAAGGGAGGGGGAGCGCGAGATGGAGAAGGCCAATAAGCTCAGCGCCGGAGCGGGGGAGAAGGCGACCAAGAACAGGAGCCACGGGTCCACGGCGCTGTTCGTCGCGGTGGACTACGCCTTCCTGCTCGCCTTCGCCGGCTTCCTCGCCTACCTCGTCGGGTCGCGGATCCTCCCCTCCGCTGCCTAGACCGGTCCGCGTTCGTGGATCTCTCTTCTTTCTTCCACCTTTTTGTTTTTGCTTGGAGCCGATGGCAGTGAGAGCACCGAGATCTTGCCGGGCGGCCGGGTTCTCGTCTCGATCTGATGCCGCTCCCGCGATGTAATCCGGCCACATTTTTACGAGAAGAGAATTAGCGGTGTTTCTTGGCATTCGCCTGGTAATGTGACAGATCTTTGCTTGTATTGCTACTATCCCTGCTCGTGTACTGAGATTGCTTGGGACTTGATCTGACGTTTATGTGGCTATCTGAAAGGAAATCCGTCAGCTTGATCTCATGCTTCATTTTCGATGGATGAATCTGTGATTCAATTCAGTACCTAAGCGTGACTGACATATTGTGCTTTAAATACCTACCTGAGATCGACTCGCATTTCAGCAATTTTGTAGCTGGAGTCATTCACTACTTCATATTTTGCTCCGATGTCAAATGAACCAGGAAATTGTTTTCACTGAAGGAATACTGTTCCTCCTTCGGCTTACAGTGTTCCCACCATTACTTCTTTGTTCATGAAGTCAAACTAGACTCATATTTAGCCTTCAATACATGATAAAACAACCAGGGAATTTTGTCCGACATTGGTGTGATTTCAACTTTCACGGTTTGGCCTGCAACAAATACCATAGGTTCTTTTGTTTGCCGAGAGAAACCTTTGAGCACACAAGAGCTCTTGGTTTCTGCTTTGCTTCATATAGAATTGCACGGTGCTTGAGTCAACAATTGCATAATTTCAGCCAAAACACACCTCTTCAATTTTCTTTGCAAAGGCTATATATAAACACCCGTACCTATATACATCCGGTTGGCGGTTGCATCCAAAGTAGCATTGCTCTGCCTGACTAGTGACTGCCAATACGAGGAACACTTTGAGGAGGCTACTGCCTGACCAAATTTTTTATTTTTTAGCTTTTTTTTGAAATATTTTCACAAATATGCCATTGAAGAAAAGATTTCAAAATCTGGACCCTGGCGCCGAGGTAACACGTCTTGGCGCCAGCGTTCCCCTGGCGCCGAGCTCTTGGCCTCGAAGCCAACGTGGCGGTGATGACATGGCGGGGCGACTCGGCCCAGAATTCCCCAGCGCCGAGCCTGCACTGTCTTACGATATGGGCCCCAATCTTTCTCTCTCCTCTCTCCTCTCTCTCGCTTCGCTCGCCTCGAGCAGAGAACCGCCACATCGCCACACTCGGCCGCCCATGCCGCCGCGCCTCTCCCTCATTGTGCCCCGCCTCGGCCGCCATTGCACAGGCGTGCCAGCTCGGCCTCCACGGTCCCTCGCCCCCCTCAGTGCCGTGCCCGCCGCCGCCCATCATCATTCAGCGCCATCGCGCCGCGCATCACGCCATCACGGACCACCGCCATCCACTGCCGAGCTGCAGCCAGATTCGTACCCGCCCAGCCGCCGCCGTCCTCACCACACGGCTCGCGTGACGCGTTGCTCAAGCGCCCAGCCGCTTTGTGGCGCTACCACGAAAGCCGGTGCCATGACCGTGCCGCCCGCCACCGCCGGCCTAAGGCGCGCTTGCCGAGCCGGCCTTTTGTTGCGTGAGCGCCGGCTTCACGCCCGCCACCATTGCCCTCGGCCGCCGCTCCAAGACGCGCCCCAAAGACTGAGAGGTGCCGGTCGCGGTTACATCACCGCCCTACCGGCCGGCTTCGGCTGACCCACGCCCGGCGTCCGCTGCGACTCCGTCGACGTCCGCGACTCCGTCATCGGACAGGTAAAAATTGTGAATTTGCAATGTGCGTACTTAATTAGCTTTGATTGTAGTGTAGTAGTTTTGGCATTTGTTATTTACTAGTTAATGTGATGACTCGAATAGTTGATTTAGTTAGTGACCTAGTGAGATAGATATGTAGATAGATAGAAACATAGATACATAGGTACATAGATATAGTTAGATTGCTACTTAGACAGGTAGTTACATATTTAGTTAACTAAATAGGATCTAGCTATTTAGTTAGTACACTATATCTATGTATGTAGTTATTATCTTATTTACTTAGTTTGTAGTTAGAAAGTACTTGTTAGGTACTATCTATCGTCTAATTTGGACTAAAGGATATGTGTTTCGTTATGTGTTTGAACTAGATGGACAACCTAGTGACCATATATCATGGAGGCACCGTTGAATGCGATCGCTATGGATATGTTGAGTTTGTTGATATGCAAAGCGTGCTTGTGCTATACAATGATATGCCTTCATTTAGTGAGATGATTGCAAGGGCTCGGGAGGAGCTGCATTGCCTTGGAGATGATGGCATTGCAGTTGAGGGTGTACTGCACCTAGGTTCTCCTCCCAACATCCTCAGGCGAATGATCCCAATTGGTTGTGCGGATCACTGGGAGAACTATGTGAGATCGGCTATGAAGAGCCAGCTGCAATGTTTGGACGTGGTTGTGCGTCGGGTGTTAGTTGATTCCATCCCTCATGGGGTTTCCCACCAATGAGTCAGCAGGCACACATCGACCCTTCCGTCCCGGAACTTGATATGGATGTGGAGATTGCACCTACAGGCTCGATGCTCAATCTGCCCCAATGCGGTAGTTGGAGATGCTTGTCAGACTCATGTTGTTGTGGCAGATCCTCCTCATGAGATCCCTTTGACACAGAATCATCTGAGTAAGTGTCTTAACCGCATGGTTATTGGGAGCTTACTCCCTTCCTTACATCCATTTCTTTCATTCTTTCCTCATTTCTCTGCTTATGTTGCAGGAGACATTCCTGAGAATGTGGATGTGCCCCCTGTTGCTGTGCAAGTGCACTGTGGAGATGGATTCTGTGGCTCCAATAGTGTTGAAATTATGAATGATTCGGAGCCATATGAGATGGCAAGGGCTCTTGATTCTGATGATGATCGCCCTGTTGGAGAGCTGATAGAGAGTGATGTTGAGATGCTAAGGCGTATCTTTCTCGGCCGCCGTGATCCAAGAGTTCACGAGTTCAGCGATCTTGCTCATTCCGATCAGGCATGTGGAGAAGGACGTGATGATGAGCTCCTAGAAGCTCCTGAGGCCGGCCCTAACATGGTAATTGAGAGTGGGAGGGTGTTCAAGGACCTCCCTGCATTGAAGAGGTGGTTGCAGGCGTTTGTAGTGATACGAAAGAGACCTTACAAGGTCTTGCATTCATATGCGGAGCTCCGTTACATAGTTGTGTGTGACAAGGAACGCTGCCCATGGAGGGTTTGTGCAAGGAAGCAAACGGTCACCGAAAAGTGAAAGATCACAAAAGTTGTTAGGCCACACAATTGTGCTGACCATGAGCTGACACTGAGGCATCGACAATTGACATCTACCCTCATTGCCAAGCGGTTGATGGGAATATTACAGGGAGAACCCAACATGAAGGTGAGGACAATTATCAGGACCGTTGAGGCGTTGTATGGAGGTTATGTGATAACTTATGGTAAAGCTTGGAGGGCTAAGCAGCGAGCGTGGAAGATGATATATGGGGATTGGGAGGATGGGTATGAGTAGCTGCTAGTACTTTTCAATGCAATCAAAGCGGTGAATCCAGGCATGCATTATGAGTACATCCCAAAACCAAATGCATGGAAGGATGGGAGGCAGATATTCTTCCGTGCTTTCTGGTGCTTCCCTCAGTGTGTCGAGGACTTTAGGCACTGTCGTCCTGTCTTCTCCATTGATGGTACGTTCTTGATTGGCAAATACCAAGGCACACTTCTTATATCCATATCCTGTGATGCGAACAACAAGTTGGTACCTTTGGCATTTGCTTTGGTTGAGAAGGAGAACAATGACAGTTGGAGATGGTTCTTGAGGCTAGTCTGGATACACGTGGTTGGGCCTGCCAGGGAGGTTGGCGTCATATCTGATAGGCACCAGGGCATACTTAATGCCGTGCGAGAGCAGATAGAGGGGTATGCACCTTTGCACCATCGTTGGTGTACTCGGCACCTTGCCGAGAATCTACTCTGGAAGGATGGTGTGAAGGGTAACTTTGATCTGTTCCAGGAGGCTGCTCGACAGCTTGAGGACAAGTACTTTCAGAAAAAGTTGGAGTAGGTCAGAACCGCATCAAATGCAGAAGGTAGACAATGGCTCACAGGTTTGATGAGGGATTTTGAGAAATGGACGAGAGCTCACGACGCCGGTGGATGGAGGTATGAGTTTCAATGCAGCAACATGGTGGAGTCATTCAATAAGTTGCTATTGGGGATACGTGGTATGCCCGTGAATGCAATCGTTCAATTCACCTTCTATAAGCTTGTTGCCTGGTTCAACGATAGACACGCTCATGCATTGAAGTTGCGGAGTGATGGAGAGATATGGGCTCCAAAACTAAAGGCACACCTAGAGAAGGCAAATAAAAGGGCTGGCACACATGAGGTTACATGCTTTGATCACGCCACAGGGACTTATCAGGTCGAGCATAGGGGCGGTACAACATCCGACGACGAGGTCTGAGAGTCGAGGATGCATGTGGTTGTCCTCCAAGATTTCAAATGCACTTATGGTAAACCAAGACAGTACCACTTTCTATGTTCCCATTTGGTGGCAGCAGCTAGGCATCACAACTATAATATCGAGAGCAGGATACCTCACGTGTTCAGTGTCGACACGCTTGTGCACACATGGAGCCCCCGCTTCGTGCTTTTTGGGACCCTGGAGAGTGGCCTCCATATGATGGGCCGAAGTACATTACGGATCCAACTTACCGTTAGAACAAGCGTGGATCAAGGAAGAGGACGGGGCATAGGATGGTTATGGATCAGATACCCGGAAGAACGAGGCGTGGGAGAGGAACCCCATTTGTTACTGACCCCGAGCAATACGAGTGCGGCAAGTGTGGTAGACTTGGCCATAATTCACGAAGTTGTCATTGACAGATTAGTGAGGTGCGACTATTGGTTGATTTTATTATTTCATATTTATCGTAATCATTTAATTAATTATGCATGTTTCAATTTATGCTTGTAATTGTGTCAATTACTTGTATATTTCTATGCTCATGTTTCATGGTATATTGAATTTCTAATACATTGACTTTTTTTGTAGGATGGCGCAATTCCACCTGCTCAACCCGACGTACAAGGCGACCCACCGAGGATGTGTCATAGCGCAGGGGCAGGTAACAATGGTATTAAAGGTTGCTTCATTATTGGTTATCAGTAGTCATTATCATTTCAATTAAATTTGCAAGGTACCCAAACTATCATGCCTAAAACTTATTAAACCAACTACTATGACCTAAAAAAGTACAGAAAAGATAAAGACTACAGCTTACCTGCAGCTTTGAAGATGCTACTTGAATAAAACAGTACACCGTTGATTCCACTTAGATTTTGCAGTACAAGTAGGCCAATTCCTAGCTGCCAAGTTAATAAATAATCACAATTAGAAACTATAGCTGTTGATTTGGCATGGATTAAGCTAACGAAGTTAAGGAAGTTACAAGTAGTGGCGTGCGGTATTTCTTTTGGTTTAATTCTTGAAAACTGATTGTAGTCCTCTTACTTGATGATGTCACTGCCCTCTGCAAAAGGATCAAACCTATGTTCCTTCAATATGTTTCGTGATGTCTCATAGCGCAGGGACAGGTAATAAACCCACCGAGGATGTCTCATTGCTATTAGTATTTGTTTCTTCAATATGTTCCTCGTTAATACAACTTACATGACATACTTATTGCAGTCTTCCTTGGCCGAAGAAAACTGTGGGTTCACTAGGTGGGTCGATCCTCGACCTATTTATCCACATGCGGAGTACATCTACTGCCTGCAGGACCGTATCTTCGATCTAGAAATAGAAGTTAGCAGTGGTTACAAGGACGACGAACAGAAAGACGACAACAATGATGCCAGTTCACAGGAGGCACTCTGCAATGATCCATATTGCACCTGCCCTAATCATAGGAACAAGGGTCCTCCGCCGCCGCCACCACCAACAACAATGGGAGGCTACTTTGGAGAAGGTGCAACACAATTTGCTATATGGCCACACTACTAGGATGACTTTATCTTATTCATATGCCACATCTATGTGTTTGTTGTTTGATTTAATTACCTAAAGCATCTTAGGTTTAGTCGAAGGAACTCTGTACCCTAGTTCGGTACATGTTCTCACATGCCATTTCATGTGTTTTGTATGTTGAATTATATAATGCCCTACTTCGTTAGGTTTTATTTGCAGCACGTGATCATATTTCAATACGTCCATAATATTAAGCTAAATATTATGACCACAAATAATAAAAACAACCACATAATGAAAAGTCCAATACTATGCCACATTAAACAACATAATAATACTAGAAGTACGTGCCGACAGTAGACATAGGTGGCAAATGCACTTTCAAATCCTCAGTCTGAAACATACTGAGTAAGCAACTCATCATCCGAGTACCAGTCATCTACCACAACCCTGTTGCTGTGGCTAAGCTCATCTGCATTGCTCTGACCTGCCTATCGCCTGTAGTAAGCGGCCTCCGCTTCATCTATGGCCTCTGTGGCCTGAGTAAAGAACGCGTCGTCATCCTCCTCCATCTGTAAGCCCGCCTCTGCTAGAGCGATGAGCTCGCTCAGTCTATTAGTGTCGTCCTCAGCCTCCTCTGCCTGCAAGCCCACCTCTGCTAGAGCGATGAGCTCGCTCAGTCTGCCAGTGTCGTCCTCAACCTCCTCCATCTGTAAGACCGCCTCTGCTAGAGCGATGAGCTCACTCAGTCTGCCAGTGTCGTCCTCATCCTTGTCCCCCTCATCAGACAACATAATCGGTGATTGAAAGGTGCGACCAGCTCATGATCTGTGCTTATCTAACTTCTTTTCCTTGTACCTTGCATGAGCCACCTCTACGGCATGTTCCTCACTGCATCCAATCCCTTCATGTATAAAATGCAATCAGTTAGCAACGCGATTATATTATATTTAAAATCAGGCAACGAAAAAAGGCTTTCAAGCACTCACTGGCACATAAATGTAACAACATGCTCGTTCAAGACCTGCATCTGTACTCTTGTCTCCTTCCTTGCCTCCTTCCTTGCCCTCTCCTCCTCTAACGTCATCCGTCTCTCCAATCCCCATTTGTCAAGCCCAACATCGATCGGGTTACAAATACCGCGCTGTCTAGCAAACTCACGCATCTTTTCTTTGTGATGTTTAACGAATAGGTTGACGTAGTCAGGTCCATATCCCCTCTTCCGTGCAATTACTTGCCTCCCCTTCAGTTCATCCAAGAACTTAGCTTGACCATCGTAACATTTCCACCTGTATTTCCTAGTGTTTTGTTTAAACGCAAAATTATATCATATATGTCTTAGCAAAAAAAAAAAAAAATACGATTTCATGTTTACCACAAAAATAACCAACCTCATCATAGTCAACCATATGGCCGCAATAATGGCATATTCCAAGCTCCGAAAGGACTAGGCCATAGTTGGATTTAACACCACATTCGCAAATGACAGGAGGTGCTTTGTAAATTACCCTTTCTTTCTTCTTTTCCTTAACCTTTCGTGGTTCTTCCGGCCATTTGTTCTTAGGACCATACAACCACTCCTTGAAACGACACTTCGCCATTGAAAACACCTAAATAAGGTGACATTAGTATATGAACACATATAGCTCAACATTTCAACATATACACTTTGCACTTACTTCATGCTTGTTTGGACACACAAACTCCAACGTATTCTCAGGGTTTATCACAGTTCGATCTCCGCAATCACACAGAGGAGGTTCCTCGAGTCGTCTAACTGTAGCTAGGTGCTTCTCCTTAGCCGTCATTGGCGGAGGGTTAGGGGGGTGGAACCCACCGCTTGAAGTGCTCACGTGGATGTCTCTCTATAAACCAATCGTCGAAAAGGAGGTACCTAGGATCAAACTTGTCTGCATCGTCGACCCACTGAAAGAAAAAGCACCTCTCATGGTCCTACACAACGAGATTCCAACAAAATATTAGTAGCATACTTACACAAATAAAGAAAAAAGATAGTGGAAACAATTTCTTACATAAAAACGACTGCATGTGTAGAAGTACCACGCCGCTGTGTCCGGATGTTTCGATTGAAAAACGTGGGCCGAGAAACCATAGTCACAGTTAGGGACAGGGAGGTCAGGAGGGACGGGGGCATCTTTGCTAGACGCATCGGGGTATAATTCTCGAGGACGACCCCGTTTTCACCAAAACTCCCCCGATACATTCTTGCATATAACAAAACGGATGTAATTTAACAAATAAAAATCAAAACATCATAAATAAATGTCAATGAAAACCATAACCACAATACAACAAATTTCGTTCTAAGAACCGAAAGCAATTAACATTAAACTCTAAACCTAGGGTTTCCCATTTGATGCACAACAATGAACCCATAACATAACTACATGCGCTGCGGTTACCTAGGTTTGCTAGTTTTTCCACGCCTTGGCATCATCCTACGTTTGTATAATACAAATATTGAGGGATAAAAGGAAACCCTAAGTAATGACGATTCTTAGGTTGAAAAATTCGTCTAATATATACCAAATCGATGCGAAAAAAACTAGGAGGGGAGCGAGGATACCTTGCTCTCGAAGATCTACGGATCAAATCAAAGTTTATAAGGTCTAATATGCCGATTCGTGAGGTAGGGCGAAGTGGGAAGAGAAAAAACCCGAGAGGGAGGAGAAAGAAGAAGAAGAAGGTTCGGGTAGGAAGGTTAGGCTGGGGTTAAAACATAAGCTCGGCGTCAGTCACCCTGGCGCCGAGCTCGGCGCCAGGATCTATGGCGCCGAGCTTGGTGCCAGGGTGACTGGTGCCGAGCTTTCTGCCATGTCACCTCCACGTCTGCTTCGAGCCTAAGAGCTCTGCGCCAGGGACGCTGGCGCCGAGACGTGTAAGTTCGGCGCCAGCAACGATGACGCCTAGTTAAGGATGCAGATTTTGAAATCTTTTCTCTAGGGGCATATTTGTGAAAAAAAATCAAAAAATGGGCTAAAAATAAAAATTCGGACTGCCTGATGGCAATGATTAGCACATGTACATCATATCCTTGTTAGGTCCTGTAGCTGTGCTCCTTTAGGAGCTGACATACAGATATCCACAAAATTATGACAATACACGGATGGCTGCGATGGATGGGATCTTCTCTCGGAGCTTCTGAGTTAGCGCCACTCGAACAGTCTTCACGCCTGCAGCTCGCCCTGTGAAGCGCACTTTCACAATGTGGCCAACGATCTTGATGAACTCGAGCTCGCCACCTCCTTTGCCAGCAAGGTATGGTCTAATCTCAGCTAGTACCTGAAATTTGGTTTGAAGGAGTCAACAATACTTTCAGATAACCCTCTTAATAGAGTATTTCTTTTTATCTGTAAGAAGGTGAATCATTTAGTGGTGTAAATGACTTAAACTGATGCCAGAAGGCAATGCACAGTGTCCAAATGATTATTGGCATGACGATAATAGAAAAATATCACTTGATCATAAAGAAAATAAGATGTTTTATTGTATCAATTCAGACTCAGAGTTTCAGATGTGCTCCACATTCCTGCAAAGTAATAAAACTGACAAAATTCAGTATTTCATACCTCGTATTTATATAAGCAGAACCTGGAGCAGGAAGAGTGTTGCTCCAGGTATAGACCTTTCACGGCAAAAAGATTCAATTGAAACGATGTAGTTTCGGAATGCAAATGCAAAACAATGCGATATATCTAAGAAAGATGTCCTCAAATGTTCTTAAAACTACTAAATGTTCCTAAAACTACTACCAAGCACTAAAAGTTGGACAAAGCCACAAACTAATGGTCTGAGAGCTGAGAGCGGGCTATCAGTCAGATACTTGTACTCCTTCCGTCCACAAAATGAATGCAATTCTCGTTTTTCGAGAAGTTAAATAGTTTAAACTTTGACTACATTTATATAAAAAAACTACTATCATTCATGATATGAAATAATTACCATTAGATTAGTTATAGAATATATTTTCATAATAAATTTTGTTTAGAGACATAAATGCTAATATTATTAACTATAAACTTGGTCAAACTTAAGTTACTTTGATTGACACAAATCCCTTAATTGCATTCTTTCCTGGACGGAGGGAGTATTTGTTTAGACATTTTATTGAGATAGCTAGTGCATCAAATTCATTACAAACGTCCCTTTCAAATAAAAAATCAGTGCCAAACGGTGATGGGCCTATCGAACATTTTTACAGTTGAATCACCTGCAGCTGTAGGTTCAAGTGATCACAGGAGTCCAGGGCCTGTTTGGCACAGCTCAGCTTCACTATTGAAGCTGCTTTTTTTTTGAAAAATAGCTTCACAAATAGCATTTTAGTGAAACTGAGCTGTTTTAGAAAAAATATTTGGTAAAATAACTTCATCAACAACTCATGAGGAAGAGAGCTGAGATAAGCTACTATTATTAGCTTTATCCCAACTCATGCCTTTGTGACATGAGGAAAAAAACAGCTTCTACCATAAAACTGTTTTAGAAATTAGTGTTTGGCTAAAAAAAACAGCTCACAACAACTTATGAAGTTACTTGTGAGCTATGCCAAACGGACCCTAACTATGTTTATTCTTGCAAATCATGTACTAGCATGTTTAGAAGATTCATTGAGAACAATAAAACAAAACAAGCCTGCACGTTGGCAAATACCTTTTGGACATTTGCTTCATTTAGCTTAAGCCCCATCTCCTTATCTGCAACACGTTCGACTGCGCTGATCTCTAGGATGTTCTCCATCAAGCGCCGCTGAATGCTCATCTTCATCGTCGTCACTGAGCTTGGACACGATCCACATGCTCCCTGCAGCTTCAGCCTCACGACATTGCCGTTGATCTCGTGCAAGGCGACGTCGCCTCCATCTGCTAGTAGATACGGGCGCACTTCATCCAGAATTGACTCGACATTTCCACTGGTTAATGGCAACTGCACCACTGTATTCAGGCCGGCGACGGCTCGTGCAACTGCTTCGCATACAGAACATAAAACAGCTAAAGGTTCAGTTGACCTCGTAAAAGGGCAAGGCAAGTACTAATTGTTCAGATCATTCAGATGAACTTGCTCTATCAGATTCCGAGCAGAAATTCAGCAAAACAGTTTGCAAGCTAGAGGCAACTATGAATTGATCGTTTTCAGTCATTCAAAACCACATCACGAGCAGTGCGAAACAATGTAATTATTCAGCTGAATCATGCAAGAGTGCCTCGTCCTATAGAGGAGCTGTCAGAGCATGCTTAGAGAACATCTCTGCTGCAAGCAGGAAAGCTTTTCAACTGGCAATTGCAGCCGGCGATGAAGGGGAGGCCTCACCTTGCGGACGCCGACCAATGGACGTGGCGGCCACCAATCGTGGCGCAGGGCTCCCACGCGACCACGACGCGACTCCCACCTCCAAGCCGGAAATCTCACCCAGTTAGCATCATCATCACATTCCCAATCAAGGGATGTACAAACTACAAAGGGAACAGAAGCAAAGAGGAAGCCTAGCCCAACCATGGACGAGGACGACGTCGAGGACGAAGCGGCCGGAGCCCACGCCGACATGGACGCGGCGGCCGCCGCCGACGTCGCCATCTCCGGTGGCCCGACTGGAATGGACCCCTCACGCCCGCAGGGTGAAGGATTCTTCCAATCGGCCGGCGTGGGGGTCGAGACGCTCCGCCGGCCGCCACCGCTGTTCTTGGTGGTGGCTGGCGGGTTGATTTCTATTGTGCCGCGATTCCTGGGCTCGCCGGCTTTCTCTCCCGGGCACGGCCGGCTCGTTCGGGCGCTTGTCTCGCTGGCTTCTTTCCAAATTTCGCGCGGTTCCACAGCATCTCGCCACGTCGCGTGCTCGTGCCACCTCCTTTGGCTCCTTTCCCTTGTCTTGTCTCTCTGTGCGGGACACAGGATACGCGAGCGGGTTGGAGTTTGGGTTTGGCAACCGGAATGGAGAGCTCGCTACTCGTTAGTTCCTTTTTCCCTGTTTCAAATAGGTGCACCATGGATTCGGCTACTATCTTCTTTATTAAGAGCTCTTTTACAGTGATCGGCGATGCTTCCTAACTCCTGTGGATGCCTACGCAAAATAGTCATTTTCATTGATTTTATTCGTCCAAGGGCAATAGGGTCATTGCGCACAGCCCTCTTAACACCCCCGCCACTGCCGGCCTGCCCTCGCCCACGCTCGTCGCTGGGAGCCCGTTGCTCCTCCCTCCCCGCGCCCCCGCCTGATGCGAGCGGCCCCTGCGCCCGCGACTAGCGCTTTGGGACCCGTGCCCCCGCCCGCGCTGTCATCGCAACTGCCGAGGAGATGTGCTTAAGCCCCCGTCGGTCGCCCCGTGCCCTCCGTCGACAGCACTCACCACCGTCCCCACCGTGGACAACGCTCGCCTGGTCGCCCCTGCGTATAGGTCCCTTGTGGAGCTCAGCGTCCGCCTCCATCCCCGTGGAGAACTCTGGATCCGATCGAGCTCCAATCGCAAAAGGTCAAGGTTCCCGTCCTTTGCACTTGTTTTGCATTTGATTTATCTCATATAGCATGAATTGGTGGGAATGCAGCAATGCATTTGTGTAGTTCCCTAATTGTAAGACAACTAAAAAATATTAAGAATAGACTCACATAATTATTTTTCATTGTTTCCTGTGTATGATCTAGACACTTAACAATGTTTTGCCAATGTAGACTTGATGCTTGCCTAGCTAGCGCACTAGAGTGTATTATTTTTTTAGTGATCCCCGAGATTGTCTCACACGGTTAGCTATTGGAGCCTATGAAAATTGACAATTGTTAGAAAATTGTGTTTCCTCATAGTTGAAATGGCTTAGTTGCTGTACCTGTATGCACATAGTCAAGAATGGACTTATTTCCTTCATCAGGTTATCTCTCATTATCCCCATATATCTTCTCGACATAAGCTGTCAACTGTTGCTTGAACCGAAGTGCTGGATATTTTGCCTCTACCATTGATGCAGTGTCAGGCCTTCCCACCATTCCACTGTATCGACTAGCTATGCCTAATCCTGATGATGTTCGGGCACTCTGAATGGAAGTTATGGGGTGTAAGCTCATGTTTACAATGTGAACATCAGTTTACGGTACTAAATGAAAGTTGACTAGTGAAATCTTGACGAGAAAAAAAAAATACATAGTACAAAACACATTGTACCTTTGAATTTCAATGGGAGGCTTGAACTCCAATTGCAAAAGGCCAAGGTTCCCCTCTTCTGCACTTGTTTTGCATTTGATTGTCTTATCTCATATATTCAACTTAGGAAACAATTTGCAGAAAAAAGCAAGTAATTTTGCTTTGCTTTACTGTTGGATCCACTATAACAGAGAAAAATTGAACAACCAGCTATGTGCTAACCTTTCTTCTTTTTTTTTCTAGATGAAGCATGTGTACTCAAGCATCTGTAATGTAATGTAAACATGTTAAGATGGTTCCTCTTGTTTACATTTTTCGACATTGCAGTACAGATGCTTGCTTCGGCTAGTTATTATTTTTTTTTTAAAAACAGCAGGTGAGCGCTACTGCACGCTCAGCTGCTGATGCTTCTTCAGTTGTGGCCTGAATGATGCCATGCTTTATTTGCCAGTACTTTATTTGCAATGTGTGCATACGCCAATCTGTATCTTTTTCCTGTTCAGCCAGTAGTGCTTAGCAGTTTATTAACCGAACTAGTACTTTAGTTTGCTCTATTGTGTATTATATTCGATTAATGGAGTAAAAACCCTAGCACTACACCTGCTGATTTTGGTTATGCAAGTTTTGAACTTGGATTTGGCTGAAGACTCCATCAGTCAGCATTATTCAGTCTCAACATGGAATAATTAAGAACTTTCAAATGGAATTTAGGCACTTCACCATCAGTGCTACTAGGTAGAGCAACTGAATGGACATCTATGTGACAATGTAACATTAAATCGTGCATTTACATAACTATTCCTTCAGACTTTCACAAATGTACACCTGTCAATAGTGAACCAATATTTCAGGATATTTTGCCATTTTGATAGGAGCCATGTCTTTCTTCAATTTCTGTAATTTGTTCTATGGAATTTAAATTTGCTTAATGTTGTTGATTGATGCAGGAGTAAATGCTAAATCTTGATTCTTTGGAGTACAATGAAATTGTTAGGAAGATGTTTGGTAATGAAAGAGAAGGATTTCAGTTTTATAATAACTACGCTAAGGAGAAAGGATTTAGTGTGAGGAGAAGCTATTGTGAGTGAGACAATGGCCACAATGAGATGACCCTTCAGAAGTTTGTTTGTAGTCATGAAGGTTTCCACAAAGAGAAGGAGCTGAAGAGGGAGATTAAGAAGTGGAAGCCGCAGAATATTACTCATGTTGGATGCCTTGCTAAATTTGTGATTCCACAAGATCAAAACACAGGGCTATGGTATGTGAAGGATTTCATCGATGAACACAACCATCCGATGGCGCAACCAGACCTTGCTTGTCTGGTGTGTTCACATAGAAGAATCAATGATGAGAAGAAAGTTGATATTGTGGAGATGCAAATTTCTAGGATCCACAAACACTAGATAATGGATATTATGGAAATACAGTATGGTGGGTATGATAAGGTTGGATATATAACAAGGGACTTGTACAATTTCTGCCATCGCAATAAGGTGGAGACAGTTGCTACTGGTGATGCTCAAACAGTCATCAGTTACCTGGCAGAATACAAACATAGAGATCCTGATTTCTTTTTCAAGTATAAGACGGATGGGAAAGGGCACCTGGAGGGACTGCTCTGGTGTGATAGTCAATGTCTTCTTGATTATGCAGCATTAGGGGATGTCATATTTGATAGCACGCACCAAATGAATCGATACAACCTGCCCCTTGTTCTTTTTGTTGGGGTGAATCACCATGGCATCACAATTTTTTTCATGTGGAATTATTTCTCATGAGACTATTGAGTCATATGTGTGGGTACCTAGCACATTCTTTGATGCCATGATTCAGAAGCATCCGGTTTCCGTGATCATTGCTGGAGAACTAGCTATGTAGAGAGCAATTAGGCTGGTGTGACCGAATTCATCGCATAGGCTATGCATATGGCATACTGAAAGGATCTAAACAATGCCTAGAGGAGGGTGAATAGGCGTATCTAAAAATTTCTACGTAATCTCAAAGGTAAATGTTAGTGACAGTCGGAAGTCTCGACAGTTTAGGCCAGAACTTCTGGTAGCCGGAAGTTTCGACGCAAAAAGCCGGGAGTTCCGGTACCTACGAGAATTTCACTACAAGTGCTAATATGAACTTTGAGTGTGAGATATCTTACAACCCCACTTCCTAGTGGTAAGATGTAGTGTTGGGGTTGCTCCTTTGATGCCAGAAGGTCACCACTCCGTAGATCGAGTCCAATCCCTAAGAGAAACTTTAGGGAGAAAGAGAAACCAACAAGAACAAATATGATAGCACAAGTCTCAACAACAACAAGCACGTGGGACACAAGGATTTATGCCAAGGTTCGCCAACCCCACAAAGGAGCTCCTACATCCTCGTTATTGAGGTGACCACAAAGGTCGGAGTCTCTTTCACCTCCTTGCCTCTCTCAAGGAAACCACAATGGTCACTTGAGCTTTCCACTAAGAAATCAAGGGTAATACAAACTTTCCAAGGCTCTTCCACAAGATGGAAGCTCTTGGGCGACGCCTAGCCGGCTAGGAGCAAAGCTCCAAGAGTAATAGACATAAATCCAACCGGCTTGAAGAAATCGAGTGCTCAAGCTTGCCAAAGTAATTCTCTCACTCAAGCCACTCTCCTTTCACTCAAAACCCTAGGGGAATCAAATATTGGAGCAATGGGGAGAGGAGAGGGGTGCCTTGAATGCTTGGGAGCTATTTTGTACGAAGGTTGGTGAGCAATGAATGAGTGGGTAATGGTTAGAAGAGAGGAGAGAGCTATTTATACTCATAGGCAAATCTTACCGTTCAGATCTGCGTCGGAAGTTTTGACACAGATCGCCGGGACTTCCGTCTCTTCTACAAACACTGTTCACTGGCGCAGACCAAAGGGCTGGCTTGGCCAGAGTCAAAACTCCCAGCGGCTGCCGGGACTTCAGCAGTCGGGACTTCCGCTCGAGCCAGGACTTCCGATGGTCAGCCGAGCTTGGCGGCTAAGTCCAAGAGCATCGGGACTACAGGCGGAAGTTGGGATTTCTAACTACCGAGACTTCTGGCTTGCGCCAGGACTTCTGGTAGATAGCCCAGCCTAGCAGCTAAGTCCAAGAGCACCGGGACTTCTGGCGGGAGTCGGGACTTCCGGCAACCAAAAGTCCATAAACTATATCTAGGTGTTCGTGAGGTGATTAAGTGTCACTCTTTTGATTTTATTTTTATGCTTGAGCACTCTACCTTCCTCACACCACCTAAACTTGCATCCCTCTTTATAGTACGGTAGAACCAAAACTCAAAACAAAAGATAAAACTTTGGAGAGCGCTTTGAGTTCGTCTGCCTTTTTCAACTTCTAGAATTGAGGGATACCATTTCATCTTAGATCAACTCTTTAAAACTTTTATGGGACTAAAGCTGCAATATATCTCATTAAGACCTCATTAGTCTCTAATTTGGATG